TGTGTGTGTGTGTGTGTACCTGTACACCCACACATGCACACATTATTCTTCAAGTTCATGCTGACAGGGAGCATGGATATGCCTGAAGAGACTGATGTAGAAGTATTAGTATTTTAATTTTTGCCCATAGCTGCTGTTTGTAGAGGCCAGTGATACCAGCTTTTCTGCATTTTAGGCTCACTAACCAAACCAAGGTTGGGCAATCCTACTTCTGTAGTGATACTGCCTCAGAAACCCAAGGAGGGGTCGCTATGAGTTGGGGCCAACTTGACGGCACATCACAACAACAACAACCAAACCAAATAACCAAACTCACTGCCGTGGAGTCAGATCCGATTCATAGGGACCCTTCCTTGGGTTTCTGAGACAGTGTCACTACGGAAATAGATTGCCCAGCCTTCCTTTCTAGGAGTGGCTGGTGGGTTTGAATCACCAGCCTTCTGATTAGCAGTCAAACGCCTGAGGCACTATGCTATCTGCCTGAAATCTTTGCTTCAACCACCACAGTGGTTTCTCAGCTAATAATGTTTGTAGCTATCCCCTAGATTTCCCTAGCTGGGCTGTTTTACATGTTTCCTTCTTAATCTAAGTTTTGATAGTGAAATGATCCATTCTAATCTTTAACAGAATTAACATGTGACAATGATCCTAAGGCATTTGCTAACCAAAAGGCTGGCAATTCAAACTGACCAGCCACTCCTCAGAAGGAAGGTTGAGCAATCTACCTCCATAGAGATACCGCCTCAGAAACCCAAGGAGGGGTCCCAATGAGTTGGATTCAACTAGATAGCAGTGAGTTTGAGTTTTTCTCTTTTTTTTTTTTTGGTAATGATCCTTCAGTGTCTAAACTAAGATTCAGGTATTCTTTTGATATCTATGAATTAAAAGAATAAAGGGCATTTTTGATATCACCACACACCATATTATGGAGATTAATTCTGAAGCAGACTGCCTTACTAACTAACTCTGTGAGCTGGGACAACCTAACACTCTGTGCCTCAGTTTCCACTTGTGTTAAAGGGTTATAATAGGAATACTTATCCTTCTGAGAATTATTGTAAAGATAGAATGAAGTAATAAACATAAAATGTTTAGAATCCTCATTGCCACATAGTAATTTGTCCATTTTAGCTTCTAGTGTTATTTTTTATTATTCATTTCTGAACTCCTTAGGAAAATACATTGCTCATTGACCTTGGAAGACAATTCTTATGTCAGGATACTTTGTCAACTTACCCCTATTAATATCTAGGGAAGTACTATTTATTCATTATTCCTAAATTATTGCTACATGCTACTGTGAGACATTAATTTGATGATCACTTAATATCTTTATGTGCTTCCATTTTCTAACCTATCAAATGGAATCACATTTAAAAGGTAATGAAAATTTTATGGGTCTGAATGATATATAACCAATTCTGGATCACATATTATTAGTTTATTTAAATTAAGGAGCCCTGGTGGCAGTTGGCCCCTAACCAAGAGGTTGGTGGTTAGAACCTACTAGTTGTTCCATGGGATAAAAATGTGACACTCTGCTTCTGAAAGGATATACAGCCTTGGAAACCCTCTGAGGCCATTCTACCCTGTCCTTTAGGGTTGCTATAAGTTAAAATTGATTTGATTGCAACAGGTTTGGGTTTCAGTTATTTAAATTATAGAATATTAATTACTTCCATCTTCTTATTATCCATTTAATTTCTGGTTTGGTAGCAGAATTTTAGGAAGTGATTGTGAAACAGAGATAGAATAATGATTTTTTTGTATTTATGCTGTGCTTTGGGAGTATTAATTTAGACCCCAGAGGGTAAAAGGCCAAAGACTCTGAGCATGTAAAGAATGTATCAGAATAAGAATGGACAGAGTTGTGGTAAAAGCAAATCAATAAATATGAGTGGGCAGGAACTTGTGGATATCAACACCCAATTAAAAATAATTTTAGATCATTCATGGTTTTAATTACAATGATGCTTTATTATTGTAAATAACTGAAAGTAAATGAATTTGTAATTTTGTGGCATAGAAAAAGTTCCAGAAAAGCTGAACATTTAGTCAAACAATTAGAATTTGTTTCTTTTGTTCACAAGCTGTTGCACATACTTACATTGAGATTTTTTCCCTCATTGGTCTGATTGTTTGGCTGACTCACTAGATACAGACTCTTTTAGTGATAGACATGTTTTCAAAACTGAAATAAAGATGAAAGAGCAACTTGATTGTCCTATTGCATGTAGTGTCTAAGAGTAATATTGACAGAGCATAACATAACCTGCCATCTTTAAATGAGACTCTGTATACATTGGTTGATGTAGATTGATTAATGGATTGTGATAACTTGGAATATTGACTGGGTCTCCAGTAAGTCAACATAGTGTCCCTATCTTGGATTGAATTGTGTTCCACCAAAATATGTATTAACTTGGCTGGGCCATGATTCTCAGTGTTTTAGAAGTTATGTAATGATGTAATTTCACATTTATAGAATGATGTAATCCCTCATAATGTGATCAGCATGTGATTTGATGTAATCAGCCAGTCACTTGAAAGGAATCAGGGTGTGATGCAACACCGTTACTCAGGTCACAGCCCTGATCCTATATAGGAAGATTTTCCCTGGCGTATGGCCTGCATCATCTTTTATCTTACAAGAGATACAAGAAGAGAGAAGCCAGCTGACAAGAAGGACTTACTACCACCAAGAAAGAAGAGCCAGGAGCAGAGTGCATCCTTTGAATCCAGGATCCTTGTGCTGAGAAACTCCTAGATCCAGAGGAAGATTGATGGCAAGGCATGTGGAGATCTCCAAGGAACACTAGGCTCACGAATGTTGGAAGGAGACAAGGACCAGAGCTGACACAGAGACGAGGTCTTCCCCTAGATCTGGCACCCTGAATTCAGACTTCCAGCTCCCTAAACTGTGAGAGAATAAATTTCTATTTGTTAAAGCCACCACTTGTAGTATTTCTGTCATAGCAGCACCAGCTAACTAAGACAGTCCCTATAATTTTAAGCATATTATTAGCAAGGGATACCTAACAAATAATATAATGTGGAAAAGTGTGGAAGTGTGTCCTTTATCTGGGGGAAAATATCCATGAAGAAGGGAACTGACTATCCAGTTTCTGAAATGTGTATGTGTGTGTGCAGGTGTGTTTGTTTTTTAAGAGAAACAAACAAAAGAAAAATAAGTTACCTGTAACGAGGCTGAAGAATAGTGTTCTAAAAATAATCACATTCATTAATCATACTCTTAAATTCATGAACTTACATTTGACCCATTGTTGAAGCCAGGCATATCCATTCTCATCAGAATGTAATTGTAGAGATTGCTCCATAAAAGTTCTCAGAGAATAGAGTAGGTTTGATAGTTGTCAGAAGGAGAGACAGAAGAGTGGGGGCAAAAAAAAAAGGAATGTACTTTTAATACAAAACACATGTTGATTTATAGATTACGCAAAGAAAGGGAGGTAAAGGAACTTAAGTTTTGTTGCTCATTCCTTAACTGG